CTCTCTCTCTCTCTGTGTGTGTGTGTGTGTGTACAGAGCCCAGTGACAGTCTCAGCTGTTGTTTCTCAGGGGCCATCCAGCTTGGTGCTTTTTGGAGGGCTTTTTGGGGGTTTTTTGTTTTTTTGTTTATGAGATACAGTCTCTCTTGGAATCTGAAGCTCACAAATTATTTTAGACTGAACTAATAGGGATAACTCAGGTCCTCATACTTTTAAGACAAGCAGTTTCGCGACAGCCATCACCCCAACACAAATGAGCAAATTTCTTTTCCCACACTGTTTTCCCAGTCTATTTAGAGACATGCCTGTGGTTTCAGATTAAGTATTCTGGGCAGCATAAAGGGCACACCAATTCGAGCACTCCTGAATGGAATACAGTCCTACAGGCCCTGCCATACCTGCAGCCAAAAGCAGGATTGCTGGGGCCTTAGGAAGACTCTCTGTAATTCCAGACAGATGTATCCAGCTTATGGACTGATGCTATATTTAAGTTAGTTCCTACTTGTTGGTTGGTTGGAATGGCAACTCTCAAGACTCCTCTGGAAGTGGTTGACTAAAGAGGAACAGGAACCCACAGTGCTTAGCTAACAGAAGCTTGGCAGTCCCCAGGAGAGAGACGAGCTGGAGCCCCATTCTCCATTTCCCAAGTTGAGCTTCTTCATGAACAATGCAGAACTTGTGTAAAATGGAATAAAGCTCAGGTGTCCCTGTTAATACAGTCAGCTTGTGCTCCCAGGTGGTTCTGAGGGGAGGGTGATGTTCACCAATACTCTCAAACCCAAAGCACTGTCTCCTCCTAGCCCCAAGCTCCTGTGCCTGCCCAGGGAAGGTGGGGTGGACGGGCAGCTTGTTAGTCAAAGGCTGGAGAGCAGTGAAGGAGGTAGGTAAACGAGGTCACACATATACCACGTGTCAGTCTTTTATATTCAGATTTGACCACTCTAATTTCAGAAAGAGGAGCAATGGGCAAAAGAAGATTCCAAGGGGGTTCTACCAGTATCTAGTCTTGTGTCCTTAAAAAACTATCCAATATTGTTTCCTCATGTCTAAAATCAGAGTGGGGAAATCAACCCCCTCATCCACCTGTCCTGCAGCAGAGCGAGAAATGCTCAGCCCCATTGTAAGAGTTTGAACAAACAATACAAACAACAAAAACAAACCAACCACTGTCACCAGAGCTGTAGTTCTGAAGAAGTTGCCGATTTCACTTTTCCTTGGAGACAGTTT